TTTGCTTGCCAAATCTGTACCGTTTTGCGTGTAACGTGGAGGTGTGTATATTGAATATAATAACTTGGGGCTATATTATAATGTCCTGGGGCATTTTAGCCAAAAGTTGTGCTTTCTTGGTCATAAAAAATTTTTTATAAAAAGAGTTGTACTTTCTTTTTTGTGCTTGAATTCTTGAAATTACTAATTAGCTTGATTGAGGAACGTTCATTTACAAAAGTCCCATCCTTAATTAGGCTCACCAAATTAACCTACAAATTACCAGAACAGGATCCATTGTCAATAATTTTCAATCACCAAATTACAGAAGATCAGTGGTCAATGATTCCATGGATTCTACAGAAAAATGATTGGAAACACTCAAGAAAGATGTTAGGTTATTGTTGGGCAAAGAAAAGGAAGATTCATACATTACGTGTAAACATAACCCCGCCACGACCAAATCCTCTAAATTGTTTATTTCATAGAACAGATATCCAACCATGTATCAATCTTATGATTGGTGTTTTGAATCCAATTCTCAATTATGATAAAAGAAAGAAGAAAGCATATGGAGCAAGTTAAAGCATGTTGTTTAATAAACATTTTATCTAAAACCAGGTTGATTAGATTATTTTTATTTAAACCGTTTCTTTTTTCTTTTTTTTCTTTTTTGGCAGTATAAAGATTTCACAGGACAAGTACCTTACGTGCCAATGCCATAGTTGCAACTTGCAAGCATTGTTTCTTCATAATTTATTTGTTGATAAAAATTCATTGAGACGGGGACCAGATTAGCTGATTCACGCGTATCTTTAGAAGAGACACAACTTTGTCAGATGTCTGCCATAAATTAATGTCTAAAGTAGTTGTAGACGGCGGCTACAGTTGAAGAGCTTCAATCATTGCATTTGGACCTCCTCAGGCTCAGACCAGCTCTTCCTATCCCCCCAAAACCCCCAAAAAAAAGACAGATAGATTTGGATTTGGAGAAGGAAACACGCACGCACAGATTCTCTTCATCCTTGCCTTAAAATCGAAACACAGAATCTAGTTGCCCCGGTCGTATGGTAACCACAGTTGATTGGCCAGCTAAAGCACACAACGTAAGCTATTTGATTACAAAATCTTCTACCGTGGACCCCATGCCTGCAAATTCCAAATGAAGTGTCTTGTTTCTTCCACAACTCTCTCCTTTCTTCTCCTCCATCCATTCATTATTCATGGCCCCTCCTCTCCTCTTTACTGTTTTTTACCCAAAGTGATTAAGATTCCACACGGCTATGTTTTTTTCCCCAGTTTCTGCCCTGAACTTTCCATTCCTTGGAAAATTCTAATACAGTTTTCTGGGTTGCGGTGTCAGGAATTTGAAGGCTTTGTTCTGTTTTGTCCTGTGCCGGGAACTGGGGCGAGGATGATGGCTTCAGGAATGAATTTGATTACAACCATAATTGGGTTTGCAATGAGTGCCACTTTTATTGTGTTTGTATGCACCAGAATAATCTGTGGAAGGATTCGAGGTACACGGTCAGAACGAATGTTTGATACTGAATCCAGAATTGATGTTGAGCAGGTACATATGTATATACCATTCTTAAATTTGGTTTCTTTTGATTGATACCCAAATCCTTTCTACTTTTCCTATTTACTTGATAATGAATTCCATATTAGTTAGTATCAGATGGCTAGTTTTTAAGGGTTTGGGTTCATTGTGCTGGCAGCCAGGGCAACGGATTCGAGGCCTGGAACCAGTTCTAGTTGCAGCAATACCCACCATGTTATTCAGCCGTGACACTTTCAGTTCTTTAGAAGATGCACTGTAAGTTGTTCAGCCATCCTAAATTAATTACTTATATGATTGATGATTTTTTTTTAATAACAATTGAAGTTTTAAGAGATTGATGTTTGATTCTCCTTTAGATGTTCGATATGTTTGGGGGAGTACCAAGAGAAGGAAGAACTGAGAATTATGCCCAAATGTGGTCACAATTTCCACCTAGCTTGTATTGATGTGTGGCTGAGAAAACAAACAACATGTCCAGTCTGCCGTTTCCCTTTGCACAACTTATTTGAAGCAAAGAATTTGAGATCGGCAACCCTCAGGATGCCTCGAACTCAATCTATGGATACTCCAGAGACTTCAATGGAACATCCTCGTCAGTTGTTGATTCCAGGTCCTGAGCGTTCTGTGGGATATGAAACTGGCCAAGGCCATCCTGATTCTGTCACAGGAGAGACCCAAGGGAGACATTGAGCTATGAATTGTGAACAGGCGTCTACTAATTTCATGAAACTGGCGGTGAGTATACCTCATATTTGTACATAAATATCAACTACAGCCCGGAATCTGTAACATTACTCTGGAAGCAATTCTTATTTGCTGCTCAGGCAGGAGAAAAATGGGAAAAAGGCAAAGTGGCCATTTCAAGATCTTAAAACCATTTTTTTTTTTAACAACAAATCCTTCCAATGTAACTAGAGCCAGTAGACAATGGTATGGAGACCTCAAGAGTGCATTCCCTTTAGTTGTCGATTCCAGGTCCTAAGCGGTTCAACTGGCCCTAGGCCATCCTTATTTTGTGAGAAAATGTGTAAATAAGGATTTTAATTTTGTGAATTTTTACTTAAATATGTTAATTATGTTATTTTTTAAATAATTATGTTATTTTTTATTTTTTTGTTTAAAACTGTTAATTTTTAAATTTTTATTTAATGATTAATTAAATGAGAATATTGACATAATAAACAAATTTTTTTAAAAAAATTATTATTTTTAAATAAAAGATTAAAAGCTAGTATGTCCTTTTTAAACTTAAAAAAATTTTGAGGTGAGGAATTAGTAGCATTTGAATGTAAAATTTAACATTTTATATCTTAATATTTCTCATATTAAAAGAATATAATTATTAAATTACTTAATATTAGATTAATATATTTAAATAAAAAAATAAAAATAAATATTCTTATTTAAAAAGTTAATAAAATTAATATTTTTAAATAAAAAATAAAAAATTTGAATCTTTATTTGTACATTTTTCCCTCAATCTGTCATCGGTGAGACATAAGGGAGACATGATTATGCAAATTAAGAGCAATGAATCATGAAATTGGCTTCGTTAAATTACATCAAACTGGCGGCTAGTGTGCATTGGGGACTTCTGGTCTAGTTGCGTTAGGTCACGTATAAGTGTATTTTCTCATTTTCAAGGTAATAGTTTGAATTCGATCTCTTGTAAATTTGTTTAAAAAAAAAAAATTGACGGCTAGTTTGCCTCATTTTTTGCACATAAATATCAACTGCAGTATGGAACATGTAACAGTCCTCTGGAAAGTAATTTTTCATTTTCCGTATTATAGATAAATTTTTTTATATTATATTTTGATATAATTTTTATATATTATTAAATAAATATATATTTAATATCATGACCTCATATAAATTAAAAAAA